CATGCTGGGGACAATTATACCCAGGTCAGCAGAGCATCACTGCAGCAAATTGGATAACTGAGCTTCAGAGCCCAGAAGCCTGGACTGATCCTAGTTTGCTCTGCAGGAGCACTAATGGGATTTCACATGGAACCAGAAGAAAGTGATGCTGGTTCTTGCTAGGACAGCTGTCTTCCACCATTCCTGCCACCTTCTCTCCAAAGCTGCGTAGCCCCCAGCAGAAGCACTGCGTGAGCTTTTTGAGAGCTCAGGCCTGCTGGCAGGGGTTTCAGTGCTGCTCCGCGGGGTGTGCTGCCAGCAGAAGCTCTCTGTCAGCCCTGCACCTCCTGGCCTGGAAAGGGACCCACCTTCATGCTTGGGGAGCTTTTTGGTTGCAGTGTCCAAGCAGAGTGAGAGATTGAACTGTCACTGGACAGTCACTGCTAGCAAGAGGCCAGTAAGAGTTGAACCCATTGCTGTCAGGATGGTGTTTGGTCATCTTCAGACAAGTTCTCCTGTGTGGTCTGTCCATCAGTCCTTTGGAGGCTGTCAGAATGGAGGTGACGCAGATGTTCTTCCCTTGCAGGGAAGGTAGAAGAGGTCCATTGCCTTCACCTGCTGTTACGAGCAGCTGGTGATGTCCCTCTCGTGCATCATATGAAGCAATCAGAGTCTTCTGGCTCCTCTCTCCTGTGTAGCACATCACAGGAAAAGGAAGGAGTGCTGGGACTGTGTTGCTGTTTGATTGTATTTATTTTAAGGTACTATGCAGTGCCATAACATTCCTCTGAACATTGAGCTGGAGAGAGTCTGCAGTTGAAGTTTGTCTAAAGCTTGACTAAAACCAGTGTCTAGAAAACCTCTGCAAGGTACAAAATAATAAGAGTAACGTGAGAACACAGCTCTTCCTTCTTAAGCGGAAGAGTAGTGGCCAGGACAAGGTAGCTAAAACTGCTCGCAGGTGGTGTGGGACTGATCCCAGCCTGGCGTGAGTCAGCTGAAGGCTTGCATTTGGGATGGTGTTTCCTGCATTTTGGCTTGCCCAGTCCAGATGCTGGGGCCCTTGGTGCTGTGAAACAAGGTCTGGCTCATGCAATAAAACGCCGGCACCTCAGGGTGTCAGCAGAGAATGTGTGTCCTGGGGCTGCCGCGGCCAGGGGGAGCGGGAGCCAGGTGCAACAAGGGGATGCTGCCAGGGGCAGCTACAGCCCTTCTGTGCATACATGCATGTGTGTGTGCGCGCATATACGTATACACACATTTATATATAGATGTTATTTTTATAGATACATAAGAAAAAAAATCATAATGCTTATAATCTCTTCCCTTTCTGCCACCTTAGAGCTCTTTCCCTGGGATCCGAGTGGGATGCGGGGCTGTGCAGGGTCACTGGGCGGTGCATTGAGGGGCTGTGGGTTCACGTCCCTGACACACCCAGGACATCTGCTGGCTGCTGCCTTTCTCTGTCCTAGAAAGTGCCTGAAGACAGAGGATGTCTCTGTTTGTTGTAAAATTGTTGTAAGGTTGTTGTAAAAATGGAGTGTTGCTATGTTTTTTATGCTTTTGCTTATTTTGGTTTTGAGAGGATCAGCAAGTTTCTTCCAGGGCTTCTGTGTTGTGAAATCATGCAGAAGATGGTGGCTGAAATATCTGGGGTTGGTGTCCTGTACACCAGGTACCTGCTCAGGCTTATGAGGCAGGGATCAATGTTGGATGAATAGTATTGCTTTCCGTTAATATTTGCAGGTTTAGGTCCCACTTAAGAGCACACAGCCCAGTTGCTTTCTTGGCAGAGACGGATCCAGAAAGTCAGCATGTGTGAAAAGTTTTTGAGAGTCGATTGGTCTGATCTAATAATTTATATATTCCTACACCTTCAGGCCATGGTCTGACCAGTGCACGTCTGTACTGAGCCCAGTAACCCAGGGCCAGACAGATGTGGATACTCTGGGTTTGAAGACCTGGAGAGATAAATTCTCCCTGAGCACATCCTTTGGAAAATGGTTGTTCCAGTGGACCACCATCTGTGCTAATATTTTATGCCTCATTTCAATTGGTTCCAGCAATGAGCTCGCACTCTACTCTTTATTGCCAAATGAAGGAAAAACAATATTTTCTCCCCATGAAGATAATAATATGCAGCAATCAAGTAATCTCTCAGTCTTCCCTTTGGCATGAGAAATGCATTGAAGTTGTTTGGTCTCACAAAGTTATAAAGTCTCTTTTCCTGGACTCGAACCATTTCAGTGCCTCTTTTTTGAACCATCTCCAGCTTTTCTAATCACCTTTTAAAAACAAGGGCGTTCAGTCTGTCTGCAGCATGCTGGGACTTGCTTTATCACGACTTTGTACAGGGAGAAAATTGCCTCCTTGTTCCCATCTCAGGCATGTGTATCTGATAATTTTGTTAGTCCTTTAGGCCAGTGTGGCTCTGTGTGGCTGCAGTCCGACCTGCCTTCTGGCATCACAGCTGTGTGTGGGTGCTGCTCCTGGGTGCACCCATGTTCCTGGACACATTTGACTCTGCTACAACTGCTTGGCTTGGGCAGAGCCAGCTTAGTGATGGATCCACTGGCGTTGGTTTCCCTTTTCACAACCATTGGTCTCCACCCCTCCATGGGTCACCTGTGGTTTTTAGCAACAGCTATGTTGAATTTAATTCCAGAGCATTAATTAATCTGTCCCATGTGAACCATTTCAGGAGCCCCATGGAAATAGCTCTATTCCAGGAGCAGTACACTTGAGGACAGCGTTCTACCTTGTGGCACGTGGCCTGTGTGTTGCTTCATGCTATGTAGTGCTGATTTGTTTTATATCTGAATGTGGCGCAATGCAAAGCTGGGCGCTCTCAGGTCTCTTATATTCTTACTCAATTTATAATCTCCTTAGAAAGCCGTATCCTTAGCCTCACTGCTAGTTGTATTAGCTTTTAATTCCACATCACCTGGCTCCTATATTGATTTTTATGTTGTTTTGTCCAGGATTAGCAAGTACATGTTGCTGTACCATCTATAACAGGGAATCATACTGGATTAACTGTGATCTTCCTCCACTGTCCTCACCAAAGGAGGGATGTTTTTTTGCTCCACCCAGTGGCTTTTCACACCTTCTGGTTTGGTTGATTTGCAGTTAGTCCCACCCTTTTCTGATTGCTGTGTCTTTTGTACTTGTGCTCCTGGCTCGTCCCTTTCCCTTGGCTTTAGAATGGGTGCTCAGCCACGCTTGTGGTCGGGTGAGATTGATGGACCTTTTGGACATCCAATAATATTACCATAAGATCATCCAGTTTTCGACCACATTTTCTCAGTCTTAATTCATCTTTCTGACTTGTAAAAGCCCTGGATGATTTTGGGAGCATTGGTGGGGGGATATGTGAGGAGGATGGGAGTGAGTGGAGAGGCAGGTCAAGGCTAATTCTCTCTGTTTAGGGGCTATTAATTGTACATTTCATTCCATAATGAGAATGAAGGGATGAATAATAAAATATCTGGTGATGTGATATGACTGACCCATTTTGAAATAGCAACTCCATGTCTGTGTAGGAGGTTGTGCAGTAATTATTGCAGAAGATTGTTCTCTTCGTTCATCTGCTCCTCTCATCTCCATCCTCCCAGGATTACCCGCTGGACACTTTCACCTTCAGTTGCAGCATTTTGATTTCCCTACCAATCTATAACCAATATCAGAAACCATTTTAGGTGTTAGTTGTTCTAACGTTTTAATTCATGCTTTGTTCTGACTTTATATGATGTTCCAAGCAGTAGGATTTTCTTCTCTTTCACTATTGCGTGGTCTAATAACTCTCATCCATAAGTTCAGTCTGTTTTCATTTAATTGTATCTATTACTTCTGCTTTAAAAGTTTTCAAACACCTTTGGCTGTTCCCAGTGTTTACATGATTCTAAATATGTCACAGTCTTAAAATCTCTCTTTCTGGGTAGTCTAAGCTATTGTTACCTATTTAGTGCTTCTGATTTCTGCATAGACTGAACCAGCAATTATTTTATCTTTGCACTACATGTTGGAATTTATTAATAACCAGTCTTAAAAACAAGGAACCCATAATGAGCAGTGGGATGGTGCATTTGGAAAAGGCTCCACACTGGATTATTACCTGGTCCTCATCTGTCGTGCTCAAAATCCCTCTGCCTTTTGCCACCATATCGCTTGTTGATGTTGTTTTACAGCTGGGGGGGGTCC